CAGAATTTACAAAATCTCAGCTTATGATTTCACATCCCATTGTATTTACTAATTTGAATGCATGTGTGGAAGTACATACATAGGAAGGACTCATCGATCTCTGCAAATAAGGGCTTCAGAGCATATTCCTAATTGCCTCCAGAAACAAACGGAATCTTCAGAACCCATTAATGGTGAGAACAGGAGACCTAGCTCCTCCACTGCGAAACATATTATAGAGATAGGACAAAAAATTGACGTTAACATATCTTTTAAACCTATCTATAAGACGTGTTTGGGGCGTATCCTAAAGTTTGTGGAAGCCTTGTCAATTAGAAGGTTTAAACCACCTTTATGCGTCCAAAAACAATTCGCCATCACAATAAACCTTCTTTGGTAAACTTTGTTTTGATACCTCTGTTATTTGGTTTAGTGATCTTAGTTGTTATTTTGACCTTCAATGTGTCCTTTTAACCTCCGACAAATAGTTGGAATTCAGATAACCAAACCCCATTAACTCAAAAGTATCTCTTGTTTCAAGTCTTCCTAGACGAGCACACTCCCTGATATTAACGGATGAGAAGGAAAAGGAAGAATAAATATCCAAGATTACTAAAATTCGCAAGAAAAATAACTACCCAAAGAACTTCCTTCATTAAAAAAATCAACACCGCATTAAATGTGGTCGGAAACGTATTCCGAAGGTATGGGCGTCAACTGTTGTCATTCCATATAGATCAGAGACGTCAAACGATATCAGAAGAGTACTCAATAAGTACAACATTTGAGTTTTCTTCAAAACATCAGACACACTACAAAACAACCTCGTCCATATAAAAGACTAAATCACTAAGGATTCTCAATCTAATTGTGTCTACAAAATAAAATGCTTGGAATGTGATTCGACATACATTGGACAAACATAGACAAAGAGAAATCAAGATCAGAAGAAATGAACACCGTAAAGCATCTATTTGACCACAGAGAAACTCAGTTGAACTAGAAAAACCTGAAAAATCATCAGACATAGGTGTCTACATGCTATACAATCAGATCATAAAATTGATTTTACAATACTGAAATAATCCAGAAAAATTTCAGAAACCACAAGGAACTTCTAATATCAGAAGCACTTCATATCAAATGGAATCTAAATTTTCTGAATAGGAATGAATGACTAAAACAGAATTTGACCTGGTTACAACAGCCCCGATTTCTCTCATACAATGACAAAATCAACACGAATGTGATAAGCAATTTGATTATGTAAACACATACCGCTTATCAAATCCAACAATCTAGGCTTAGTTTTGTTATCTTTATCAATTGTCCAACTAGACAGCATAAAAATTACCTCATGCTGAAGAACGATAGTTAAGTTACTGCTTATAAGCTGAGATTATGTAAATTCTGGTCAGTGAAAACAATATCGTTCATTGTTTTTCATTCATTGGGAAATACAAAATCTTTTATAATTATGCCTCTTTGTTGGCAGAATAAATCTCCTTTTCTAAAAAAGTTCAGCAATGAATAATTAATCAGATTTGTCGTTTCATGACTGCCCATTAGATGTGCAGAATAACGCATACCAAATATAGCCTAGAACCTGTTCATAATTATTACTGTATTAGAAAAACCCACAGAATAAAAAATACTATCGCATATACTCATATTTTACATTTAAGTAACAGCTAAATACAGAATAGTTTTCATATTTTTAAACTTATATTTTGTGTCTAATAGATTTTCCAATTACAAATCGAAATTCCCCGATAAGATTACATTTATAAAAGTATGCGATATGTTTTTTCTGTGGTTGATTTGAATCTCACTGAGGGTTAAAGACTATTAACAGATTGATAGTGTAAATAATAACGAATGTGTAATAATACTAGTCAATCTACATGGTTAACATTACCAGTCTGTAGACACTTTCGGTATTAATATATATGCGACATCCGAAGGAATACTGTCTAGGTAAAAATTGAAGGAAGCATACACTGCCTAACAATGTCTCGTCTCCTATTTGATTACCAGTTTAGATGCATAATATGTTGTGGGGATTGGTTTTTAAAGTCTCACAAAACATGTGGAAAAATCTGTTGGTCTCCGCATATCAGGGCAAAATAGGACATAACAAAGTGTCTGCAATAAGATGTCAAGCTACATTATCCTATTAAAACCAGCTACAAGTGTCTTACTTCACCTAGTATAAATTACATAATCCTGATATAAAGCTAACTCTAGCTATCCTTTCTAACCTATACATAAAGTAAGTTTAGTCGTGTGTCTTGTAGTAAAAAATCTTTGAACAAACGTTACGCTTTTAAGAATCATCTGTTACCATCCTAAACTCACAACGACAACTGAAGTTTAAATTCAAGGAATATATAGACTCTAAGTTTCTGTATGTAATCTTCACCCTTATTACTACAGTCTTGACCCTTTAGCGTCTATTAACTTTTATATTGGATCGGGTCCCAGTGACTTAATAGTCTACGAGCTCGCTGGCTTTGTAAACAGGAGGTCCTGGGTTCGATCCCCGGTGGATGCGTGCTAGGACGGAACGGATGCCCAGTACTCCCTGTTGGTTTTCCAGTAGTTCTCTAACTGATGTCAGCTCATGATGAAATCCTCCAACGAATCAAAGAGAATCCCTACAAAACTAACACTTGAAAAATTTCATATACATATATGTATGACAAGTTCATGTATGAACAAAACACTACATATTTCATATAAACTACGTCTTCTCACTGTAATGTTAAGATTTATGACTCGTCAGATTACAACAATATCAAGTTAGGTGAGATTATTTGATATCTAATGAGTACAGCAAAACAAACTCCAGTAAAAAGCTCTATGCTTCATTATAATCAGTGAATATATCAAGTTAATTATAATTATATTCCAATAGTTTACACACAGTGAAACGAGTTTTTCATATTTTGGTAATATTACTGCTCGTGATCACACCGACCACTGGAATTGTTTTTTAATTAAAAAAACAACATCATGTATCACTTTTGTTATTCTTAGAAGGGTAATCACAGCAGTTGAGAAATTTAGTTGATTTGTCAACAGCTGAATCTAACCAGCTTATAAACACATACATTCCAAGTGTACAAAATTTCAGGGTTTTACTTGCACACCCTTGACCAATGGGTAGACACCTCAAGCTGAAGAGGACAATGGACAGTTGTGCCTAAATAACATCTAATCTATCATTGTCAAAGAAGATTTATAAATAGATCACTTGTTTTATCACCTCGTTGAGTGTATTTAATCATCTCGTGAGTCGTAACACACGTTTAACCTAGATTTTTCTCATAGCCATGATAGGATGTAATTTAAACACTAATTTGCTAAAATTTTGTTACATAAACCACAGTCAGTCCACCGAAATAAATCCGAGTAATTTAGCCGAAGAATCTGCGTTTTACAATTCAGAAAAATAGTATCTCCTTATCTAAACAAGGTTGAATGTATATTTGGTCATTTTTACGATGATTCGTTAACGCTAAGGGCTTCAAATAACATAAAGTATCCATCACACTAGTGGTCCAGATGCTTATGAAGTTGGTCATTAGAAGATTATTGTGTAATCAGTGTACAAGAAATCGATACAGATATCTCTCAGTCTGAAAATAAATCCTGAGGATCTTACTTCTTATTTCTTTAGAAACTAACTGACTGACTGGTTTCAAAATAGAATTTTACACAGAAGTGCAGCAGTTCGAGATGCCACACTCCATGTAGCATAAAAACGGAGACAAAAAAGAGGAAAAAGATATTCGAAAGAACAATAATAAGCAGAAATGTGAGGGAGTTAGAACAGTAACATGGAAAAACATGACGGTTTAGTGGATATGAGAGATCGAAAAGAACGAGTGCATCTGCGCCATTTAGAACAATTTCAAACCATATCACCAGTTGTCTTCAACGATTTGTTTTTGAAGACCTTGAAGATCCCAACTAGCCAGCCAGTTCACAATTCCCTAGGTGACCTAAATTAACTGTTAAAGATTTCATAGACTTATGCTAGATTTTCGTTCGATCACCACTAGCTCTTTTCCAACCTGATCTTTCGTCGGTTAACATTGCCCATCGAGGAAGGCGATGGCTAGGCATACGTAACACAAGTCCTATACATCCTAGTCAATGTAGCTACACAACCTCATCGATTGACTTCCCCTCCTTACTTAACGCTCCACGACTAAACTCAGTATTGCTCACCACATCATATCACTTAACATGGAAGAAAGAACGCAAACACGATTTAATGTCTCCCATAATCAGTCGTCATGTTTCAAAGAAATAAAGGAAGATGGAGCTAGGTGCTGTGCGGTACGTGCACCTAGCTTCACAGCCAAACACTGCCACAGTATCTCTCTATCGATGAAGTCAAATTTCGCCTTTAGGTTTAAAAATTACTGGAAGTTGCTGGATGTCAAAAGGCCAACATTTGGATGTTTCTCTCTGAGTAAAAGATCACGTGTCTTCTGCGCATCACTACAATCTGTCAAACTGACGAAAATTCGTTTGTATAAACCCTAAGATGTATTCTGATCCAATAAGTTTTTTGTTTTCATATTTTATAACTGATTGATATGATTCATACTTATGACGGCTATATATATACATATATATGATGACTGTTTCTATTTTTTGACAGAATGATTGATAGATTTTGAACATCATGTATCTCTTAATGACTGTTCTTCACTTAATACCAGTTGATGATATCTGCAGTAAAACTAATAACAACAGAACTATTTTTTTACGTATATATGTAAAGAGAGAGAGAGAGGGTGGGTGGGTGACAGAGAGAAGTGGTAACATGCGAATACCATATATATTATTCATACGATAAACATTTATATCAATAAATATTAATTTCATGATTGGTGATAAGGGTTATTATTAATATCATTAGTATTACTATAACTAGTGCTATTATCGATTGAAAAGAACGATAAACAATTCATAGCATGAACACTATATCACATAGACAGACTCACTCTAATTTTTGGCGGTGGTGGTGGCGACCTCTTGACTACAACTCTAAAATTCAAATAATGATAATAAAATTAAAAGTAAGTGGTTGTACATTTGGCACAATAATCTATAAAAAAAATAAGTAGCTTATATTTCAATGTGTGTGCGTAAATGCGATGCCGTAAACTTTATTTGCACTATTGTGATCTGTCGATTGTTGCTTGTAAAATGGTGGTTGAATAGAACTTTATGATTCTACTTTACAGTGATTCATTATTAAGGTGTACTGCTCCATATACCACCTACCTTTGTGATAGTATAAACAGGTAAATTGATATCATTGTACTTAACACTAAGTACCCAATAATATTTGCATCAGTCATCTTTGTTTTGATTACAAGAAGAGTGTAATCCATTTGTCTTCATCTGCTGGGACAGATGCTTGTGTAAGAGAAAAGGGGCAGTTGCATAATCTGTAAAATTAGAGGAATGTTGTCTGGACACTGAATTATTATTATTGTTTTCTTTACTTCCTAGAAGAACATTGGGCTTCAGAAGCATGTCTCCATTGCATTCGGTTCTCCTCCAACGTCTTCACCTGGCTACACTTCCGCCCACATGGTTTCATCTCCTCTTCACATCACCTCCTCCATGTCATCCTCGCACTGACGACCAACTGACTCGCCGCTTCTTATTTTTGTTCCACTCGAGTGGTTTGATTTCTCAGAGTATGGCCAGTTCACCTCGATTTCTTCCTGCACATTTGTTCCACATTTGTTTCCAGCTGTGTTAGTTCGTTCATTGCCAGAGATCCCTGTTGCTGATCTTTTCTGGCCGGCCATTTGATCTTGAGTATTGAGCGAAGACAGCTGTTTATGAAGGTGTGTAGTTTGTTCGAAGTGCCCTTTGTGACGCGCCAAGTCTCTGGTCCGTTTAGTAGCACTGACTTCACACTGAATTTGAAGGTGACTGGTGACTGAAGGCAAAATGTAAAAACACAGGCTGTGGATGGTTTTCAAGCCGGAGGCTTTTGAAGAATGGATAACCAAAAAATTGTGATGACATCGTGTATTTGACGCTGTTTTACCGTTTTCAGTGATTTTCCCATATTACTCTTAACATCTTAATAGTGCATACTGTTTGTCGCTCCAACTGTCAGACAGTACATATAATAAAGAGGTAAGCCTTTAACCCTGAATCATATCCTTTTCTATGACTATTCGATACCTAATGGTCAACAAAACCTTGAAGTCATATGCCTTATAAAACAGCTGTAAAATTTAACAGTTTATCAAACAAACAAATAAATAAATGATGAAAATTTGATACAAATCACCTGACTTTCATGTGAGTAAGATTACTCTAATGCATGTGAAAGGTAGAATGTGGCTGTAAATTTGAATTTTCAGCTCATAGGCACTTGTCAAACCATTTTTAATCAAATGAATAATTCACTTCTGGCAATACTACATAAATTCTTTGATTACTATTCTTCGTAGGCAAAATGCAATTCATACTACGGAAAATAATATGATGCAGACTGTTACTGGATTGACTTAGAGTTACTGCCAATGGCATTTAAGTTATGCATAAACTATGTACCATTCAGCCACTGGGATCCGATTCATTGCCCAGCCCATGGATTCTAACGTCTACCGATTCGTGATTTTAGCGCGACCATCAACCAATGTCGTCGGTGAGACATCCATCCTCACATCTAACTGAATGGACTCCACTGGTCACAACCTCTCACTAGAACTACAGAAAACTCCGTCCTGTAGCAACTAATCTGATGCTCGCTAGTGACTTGCTACAGGACGGAGTTCTAGTGAGAAGTCGTGACCAATGAGGTCCATCCAGTCAGGAGTGAGGATGGATTTCCCACCGATGACATTGGTTGGTGGTCACAATGAATCACGAATTGGTAGAAGTTAGAATTCATGGGCTGGCCATTGAATCGGGTCCCAATGGCTCAATGGCATACGAACTAGCTTGCTTTGTAACCGGAAGGTCCTGGGTTCGAAGCCCGGTGGTGGGTGTTTACTACCGATAAATCCTAAACTAGGATGAAACAGCTGTCTGACACTACTCCCTGGTTATCAATGGTTCTCTAACTGATATCAATTCGTGATCAACTAGTATAAACTATATACATTTTAACTGTTGAAAAAATATACTACTGACAAAATGGGTATTCTTTTAACGTCAGTCATCCTCTTTTTAAAAGCATAAGGCTTATTCTGTCAAAAGAATAAATGTACATTAAGATTGTACATAAGTGACGTGTTTTCCAAGGCTGAAACAGTAGAGTTCTTGTATCATTCACAATTTGTGTTATCTAAATAAGTTCATGTTATGGATTATCACAGCTTGCTTGATTTACAGCTTGATTCCACACTGTATTTTTGGTACAAGTATGGAATTTTCAGCCTACGATATCGGTAGCCCAAATTATGCAGGCCGACCATAGATATCAGGTGTGCGTCGGCGGGGGTTTGAACCTCGGACCATGTGTATGGTCGGCGAGAGTCCTAACCACTGTGCCACCGACGCATATCATCATCTCCTGTTTAAAAATTGTTTATTCAAATGGATATTAACTTTGTTTTGCATTTTATGTTCAGACTTATAAATATATGCGTCTATTTACTCTTTTGTTATTTACATCAAATAAAATTTAGTGTTATAATATCAGTCTTAAGAATTCAGCAAGAAAACAATTCATATTGTTCAAATAAACAAAGTATAATATTGATTCGAATAAAACAGTGTTTATGTTTTAGTTACATTAGTGGTCTGATTATCAACACGAATTATCTATCCTATTACGAATAAATGTTGACGCAATCATAATAATTCAGGATAAATGTAATTCACTGTGGTGTAGAGTTAAACAGTTCAGTGATCAGGTTGCTTTTTGAAGGAATTAAAGCAATATTAAGAATAACAGTGAAATACTGACATTTGAAATTAGTAAATTTAATCTACTGCACTAATATACTCATTGTTAAGTGAATGTATATACTGAAAGTAATTTCTTTGATCACTGTGCTGTGAAGTATAAGTTTAAAGCGCTTCATTGTGTCGAATAAGCATTGACTACTTTGAACTAGGGTTGCACATCTATTAGTTGACACTTTACCATAATTTTAAGGGTTCCTCCAATTATTTAGAAATATTGGACGGAGGATTTCATCATGAACTGACATCCGTTAGGGAACCATCGGAAAAACAATAGGGAGTACTGCTAGGCAGCTGTTTCGTCAGCCTGCATCACGCACCCACACCACGGGGTTCAAACCCAGTAACTTCTGGTTGTGAGGCGAGATAGCTGATAGACCTTTAGGCCACGGGGACCCAATCTAATGCCCAACCCATGAACTCTTACTTCTGCCAATTCACAACATAGCAAGACCATTTAGCAATGTCTTCTTCGATGAGTTACTGCCTCATCTTCAACCTGCTGTACCCTACTGGTCACGGCTTCCCACTAAAACCCTAGGTTAACTGCCTGATTAGGGTGATTCGCTAGTGAGCATCAGATTATAAGGTATATGTTTCTGTGTATAGGGTAGTTCATAAAACTATGCCGTTAAACCTGTTTGCCAGTTAGTGTTTTCTATGGTTTTATTTATTTTTATTTTTTGATTACAGCTTGATGCCACACTGTATTTTTGGTGCAAGTATGGAATTTTCAGCATGTGATATCGGTAGCCCAATTTTACAGGCCTACCATAGATATCGAGTGTGCCTCGTCAGAGGATCGAACCCCGGACCATGTGCATGGTAGGTGAGAGTCCTAACCACTGTGTCACCGACGCAGAATACGAATAAATGTACAGTACATCCCTTGTAAAACATTTGTTTATAGACTTTGTACAGAGTATTGATTTTAACTGTCAAAGAATACAATTTCTTGTCATTCATTGTGTTTTGCAGTTAAAGTCGACATTGGACTCAGTATAATTGTCGATTCGAGAGTCTTCGGAAATAATAGGAACTTTGGGTTAAGTTCCTTGAGAAGTGGTCTTCCAGCGGTTCTTGATATATGCTTGGTAAGACTTTTGTCCAAAGTAATAATGACTTGTATTTTTAATGCCTTGAAGAAAATCAACTCCCCACTGACAGCAAAACAGTTGGACCTTGTTCTTGAGTCTTCTGTCAAACTTGGTGAAGCATACTTAAAACTTGCCTTTCTCGAGGACTTGTATTTTTCTGAACCTTCATAAATAAACTTCGTAACAGTCTTTTTTGGCTAATAAGTTGAAAGAATTTGCAAACTTTATCCACCTTTCTTCAACCCTGTTATGCTGCAGTGGGTTTCTAATCTTCTAAGCAACGTTTTCAGGTAGCTTTCTGTACTTCCATATTAGTTTGATTATTAAATGTATCACACAGTGAAACAGTATTGTATACTGGATGACGTTTCGAACACAATTTATTGTTCATAATCATCTCAATTTTTTGTCACACGACTTCGAGATTTGATTTTTATAGTTTTCTCTGTCTTCTATTTGTTGTATGGGCAGTAGAACTTTCCATATATCTGGGACAGGTGTTGAATCATTCCTATTACATGTATTTGCAGTTGATTCGATAAACAAAGCTTCTGTTATCAATCTCTCCCTATACCCTGTGACATTAGATTTTAAAACTGTCATCCTATCCCATCCTATTGTATGGTTGTGTGTAACTGCATGTAGTGCTATAGCTGAACTACTCTCTAGATTTCTTATCTTATTCAGGTCAACCAATCTAGATTTAGCTAGGTTTTTATGTTCGGCTAGTCTGACTGCCCCTTTTCTACTAGTTTGACCTATGTATTTGACCTCACAATAATTGCAGGGTATTAGATGAACTAAATTGTTTTGTTTTAATGGCTCTACAGGATCCTTTAACCGACAAAGCTTGTTTCTAATTGAGTTTGTGGGTTTGAATGCCACTTTTATTCCTGCCTTGTTAAGAATTCTGCGTAAGGCTTCTGAGGTTCCTTCTTTGTATGGAATTATTGTTGATGATTTACATTCCTTATTGTTGGTGTCGTTATTAATATTATTATTATTATT